ACGAATGGGGTGACTTCAATTTACCTCAAAAATGTCTATTTCAAGATTCTCTGCGAGTTACTCCCAGGATCCGTGATTAATGTATGTTGAGATACAATGTATATTATGTAGTGAATGATGTATAGATGTGAATACAAAGATACTCATACAAAAGCAAAAATACAGAAATGGGAATGCAAAATGCGAGATGCAAATGCATCAAAGGAATTGCTCCCAAAAGTAAATGTTCCTTGAACAATTCTTGAGAAACCAAAAATGTCTCGGTATACTGGGGAAGTGAAAATCTGGTCCACATTCAAGTTGTTCAGCTCTTACAAGTCTTTGGGTATTGCACCGTCTTTCATCAGATTTAGGCGTATTGAAAACCTTCAGCGCTTCTACTTAGTCTCCTACTTTCAAAAATTTGACGACCTGGTTCATGACCTTCAACTATTTGTTTCAGCATCGAATCTTCTTGAGTCCAACTTGTTACCTCAGCAGGTAGATGTCCAGTTTGTCTCCTTATTAGGTAGACTATCTATTGACACTACTCGATCTACGTAGAGAATCTTCGAAATTCTATCTAACCCAATAAAAGGAATTGATGTGGGCATTGTTTTTCAAGAACCTTCTAAAAGATCAATTATTTCAGGGATCAATACCTTTGAAGGATATAGCATGTTCATGCAAAAATACAACAAAACACAAGACAAGACAAAAGGAAATCAAGTTAGTAAAAACAAGACAAAAAGAATCAAGTTAGTTAAAATGATTATTCAAAGAAATGTAAGCTTAACAAAAATAATTAAATACGACTTAAAGTTGAAAGTGAAAAATAAAGCACACAAAGGAAATTAAGAGTCCTAACTGCATGCGTTCTAGTTCTCATATGGTATCCACATTTCTCTAGCGGGGTAGGTTTACTAAATTATATACATGAAGTTTGATTCTAGCAAAGGGTTCCAAAGTTATCCTTACAACCTGCTAAGGTTAACAAGGACTCTGATTCTGGCCCATTGTAGACTTGCAAATTGAATTCAACTTAGGGGATCACACCACTAAAAGCGTATCTCGAAACTGATATCCGGACAGACAACTTAGGATGCTTTCCAGAGGTAATTTGTTAGACCCACATAAGGAAACCCAATTCTTCCCATGAGGTGTAACGTTTCCCCTTATTTAAATCGAGATTGAGTTCATGTTTAGAGCTATGATATGCTACAGTACTAAATATTCATAAAAGTGTGAGCATTAACCTAAGATAAAATATCTTTTTTTAATAACATAATGAACTATAAATTAAATAAATTCAAAATCAAAATTTCTAAATTCCAAATGTAAGGTAATCAACTCGTGGCTTGACTCTCTGTTTGTTTTGGAAAACAAAATGTCCTTAGTAGAGTCGTTAAACCGTCGTCACCCTTTTTCGCCCGAGTGGGAAAAACTAGTATAACTTGGTAGTTTTCTTTGAAAAGATTTTGAAATCTGAGGAGTCGCCACCAACCTTTTAAAGTGCAATTGGAACACTATAAAAAATCAGGTGATTTTAATAAAACATTTTATTTTACCAAATTGATGAGTTTTATGGTCTGTAAAAATCTAGAAATCAAGCTCAGGAGTTTATTACGCGTGGGGAAGGGTTAGCACCCCCACATCACCCAGAAATTGGTACCTAGTTGATTACCCTATAATTAAAAAATTAGAAATCATGAGTTCAAACTTTATTTAAGAAAATTTACTATGGATGCACAATTAAAAAGGATGTTCGTTTATTTAAGCCAATAGTGTTCGTCCACTAGCATGAATGCGGGAGATCAACTATTACACCCAATAAGCGGGCATTGCCTTGATTTTAAGAAATCATGATGCGGTCTTGAAAATGATGTTGACCTACTTCAGAAATCACTAGTAGTCACCCCCGAGCATGTTTGCGGGAGATATACTATTAACACCCTAATAAGTGAATATTGACTTAGGTTTTAAAAACTTGTGCAGTCAATCAATCTATTGTAACCTAATTTTACTAGGTGAGTTTATTAAAGGATTTCCTAACTTAAAGTTTCAATTTATGAAGATTAGAAATCTTAAAGGACTAAACCTAAAAATAGAGGCTTTAATTTTAATCCTATTTGATTTTAACCAGTTATTGGATCAAATGATCAAGATGGTCCCTTGAGCATGCGGGTGAGGGCCAACTCAGATTACTTCCTAAATTAAAGGACTATATTGTAATCTATCCTAAAATGGAGGCTCTAATTAACCTAATTGATTATTTCAAAAAGAATGTCTAATTAAGGATCTAAAAGACTAAGTAGTGAAAAGTATAAGGTTAAGGATCTAATTATTAACCCTAATCAATACTTCTTTTATTATATCGAATAATCAAAATGAGCCCTCGAGCATCTAAATACGAGAGCAAAATCGAATTATTCCTTAAATTAAAGTCTAGGTGTGAGAAGTCTAAATCTAAGGTTTAAATCTAAAATCTATGGCTCTAATTACTAACTAAACTAAGCAACTAGAACTAAAAGATTCATCCTAAAGTCAAATTAATTTTAAAAAATGCTAAACTTAAAGGTAAATAAATTAAAACAATTAAAATTAAAGAATCAATAATCATGCACGAAGGAATTAAAATTAAAGAAACAAAATTAAAAATTTACAAATTACAACCTGGATTTACTTAACAAAATTAATACTAGGACTAAATAACAAAATATTAATCTACGGACTAAATTAAAATGTATATAATAGTTCAGGACAAGATCTTAGTTAATTACACAATTTGCAAGGCATTGACCAAATAAAAAATTTGAAATTAAGCATAAAAGATAAGAATTAGGACGGTGACCTAAGTGCAAAAACACAGGTAGGTTACGGGGACCTGAAAGAAAATAACACCAAAAGTTCATAAAAAATATAAAAATGCGAAATAACGAAATGATGACATTAATTTTGAAATAAAATGAATTAAGTTAAAATTTGTGACCAAAATGTAAGATAATGAAACTTGGGATGGTTGCGGGTGTGATTTGACCATTAGGGACCAAAACGTATGGGTATGGTCTAAAACGACGTCGTTTTGTTTTGGGTATAAATACCCTTTTATCACCCTTTTTTTCATTTTATGATTATTCTCTCTCTCCTCTTTAGAGCTATCTCATTTCTCTCTGTGCCTCTCTAAAATACGGTGAGAGCGCAATCGTCGACAACCTTTCCAGACACCACCGGCCACCATCTCCGGTGGTTGTTGGGTGCTAAAAACATGGGGAGGTTCGCTTTGATGCCAGGAGTGCGGATCTAGGCTCGGTTTCACTATAATTGACGCTCAACTCTACGAAAATGGTCGAGAATACTTCAGCTTCCAAAGCTCTGATCTCCTCCATCCACTGTCGGATCAAGCTGTTTTTTTCATATGTCGTTCTCGGAGATTCACCACACATTCTCACCGTCTGGATTGGCCAGTGGAAGCCCTGATCGCCGGTGAAGCTCTGGTCGAGAGGTAAGGTCTCTCATTTTTCTATTTTTTTGCTTTGTTTTTAATAGTCTATGATTTCCTTCTTACTCCAGCAGCGTTACGATTCATCGTGACGAATGAAGAGGTCTCAATAACCAGTGGCCAACGATTCAGGTGAACGACCTAACCCTTATTTTTGTTTCGATCAATTTCGAAAGAGGAAATGAGAAAATGGTTGTTTTTTGTGTTGTTGATTTTTCCTTGCTTGGTTTCACTCGAAACACTCATAAAAAACTGCATTCCATTGCTAAAAAATCCGGGAGCCCTGATTACAATAATTTGCTTTAAAAAAAACGGAGCCCTTTTTTTACATTGGTTTTTTTGGGTTTTATAACACCCTAGATTACAACAATAAAAAATAAGAATTACATATATGGTTTGGGCAATGTTGGGATAGTTTGCAGGGAACGGAGATGGCAGAGAATTGGTGATGACAACATCAATAACCGGGGCATTGAATGGCCCGGATCTTCAGGAATTGCTTTGCCCTTTTTTCTCTTTTTTTTTTATGATTTTTGGTAATAATAAAAATATTATAATAATAAATGTTTTTGGGATAAAAATGGTGATTACAATGTCTCAAAATAAGAAAACGGGGTGAATATTAGGGGAAATAAACGACTGCTTACCGTCGGTTACAGTATATCATTTTTTTATTTTAATGCTTTTACTTTGCAGCTGGGACGCTTTGTTTGTTAAGTTTGTTGGGCTTTGTTGTATAAAGCTTTGATATTGTATCCATTTTGTTTACAGCTGAATAGTCAATATTATATTGAATAAAAAAATAGGGAAAACTACACCATGTACCACCAAACTTTAGGCATTGTTCTGTATAATTTTACCAATTATAGTATTGAATTTGATTTTCATTTCAATTATACAAGTAGACCATTAAATCGTTAACAGTCGGATCGAAAAAATGTCATTTTGGTGAGGTGTCTACGTCATCAGCCGTCAGCCACGTCATCGCGATGTTAACAATTCAACGGTTCAGTGGTATAATCGAAATGAAAATCAAAGTTCAGTGCTATAATTGGAAAAATTATTTAGTGGTATAAACGATACAACGTCAAAAGTTTAGTGATATTTGATGTAGTTTACCCCAAAATATAAAAGGAGATTTTATCTTTGGAATCCCTAGCTTTCACATTTCGTCTTCTGTCTCCCCGTTTTGAGCTGAATCAGTGGCGAAACCACGTATTATTGAGGTGGTGATGTGAATTTTCTTCGGTTTGTAATTTATTTTACTATGATGTTCACTTTCAAATTTTATTTGTGTCCATCTCATTCAAAAATTTTGTGTTGTTAAAGTACGTATGTCTACAAAAATATTTTTGGATCCGCCTCTTAACTGAATAATTAATATTATGTTGAATAAAAATATTAAAAGATATTTTATCTTGCAATCCCTAGCTTTCACACTTCGTCTTCTTTCACTCTGTTTTAAGCTGAAGCTCAACTAACAATTTGGACACGGTTCAATAGGTCCATCCCAGCGTAAATCCTTATACAGAAGGACTGAATCGTTTGAGAAGGGAATTGATATCATTGGCAACGTTTTGTGCATCAGAGCTTGCTCCATACAATCCTCTTCTCGACAACCCCACGCAGTACAATCCATTGTTTCCCTTCCAATGGTTCGGGAAACTCGGTTTTGGAATCCCATCAACGTTCAGCAGGTAATCATCATCCTGTCCCAAAACAAAACAAAACCCTTGTTCTGTTTAATTTGGCTCTTGTTTTTGTCGTGTCATTCAACAGTTGTTTTAATGGATACAATATGCAAAATTTTACCTTTAGCCAGATATGTGTGGACCTCTTGAAGCCAGTGCAGAACACAATTGTGTCGAAGGCATGTGCTTTGCCGTTGTCGAACAGCACCTCATTGCCTCTTATACTCGATATTGCTGGGAAAACCTGCAACGGTTGCATGCTTTATATATTTTAACACCCATTATCATTAACGTCGCAAACCTATGAAAGACTCACTAAACTTTCTTTTGTATATAAAAAGAAAGCTTTAGGAAAGATTCGTAATGATTTCGTGTTCCTAGTACATGAAAAGAGAGGAGACAGAAAAGTTAACAGTGTTTCGTAATCAGTTGGTCTAGTGGGATGAGACAGAAGATTCCTTAAATAATATAAGAGATTTGAACCCTAACATTGAGAAGGGAGCAAATCACTCTATAACGAGCATTTATGGTATTTGATCCAGATTAATCAATCAATAAATAAAAAACTCGTGTTACCTGAATCTCCCGTGACTTGATCTTGCCATAGGTTCCAACATCAAAAACAGGGTACTTGCCATATGCAATTTTCATGAAAAGTGGACCTTCTTTAGGCCTGTTAATACCATACTTGCTTAAGTCCCTGTAAACAAGCTTGCTAAGCATGATCATCAGTGAGTCCACCACCTTTAATGGAATATACTTCAACAGAGTCAATCCCAAGTACACCATTTTCCTCGAAAGTATGTGAACCTGCAACATAAATTGCACAAATTCATTGAAAGCTCGAGTTATACATCGGACTGAGATCAGTATGCTCTCTTTACCGGGCTGCGAACGACGATCGAGCTTTTCGCGCCGTGATTCGCAAGGTCTAACGCGATCTCCATGCCGGAATTACCCGATCCGACGACCAAAACGTTCTTATTCGTAAACGCCTTCCCATTTTTGAACCGAGTTGAATGAAGAATGAGACCGGGAAACGATTTCAATCCATCAATCTCCGGCGTATAAGCGTCGCATGCTTCACCACTAGCCACGACCAAGAACTTCCCTTTGAACTCCTCGACCTCATCAGAATCCAAATTCCTGGCCTTAACGATCCATTTCTCGGTCTCTTCATCGAACTCCGCCAACTCCACGCAACGGCGGTACAAAGGGGTGATCTTAAAACAAGAAACGTATCCGTTTAAATAGCTTACGAACTGATCTTTTGAGACGAATCGAGGGTACGAATCGGGGAACGGGAAATGAGGAAGCTCGCAGAACTGTTTGTATAAGTGAAGGTGGAGACGATCGTAGGAATATTTCTTCCAAATTGAAGCAAAACAGTCTTCCCTTTCGAGGATGATGTAAGGGATTGAGTGGAGGTTAAGGCAAGCGGCGGTGGCCAGGCCCGAGGGTCCAGCTCCGACGATAATGGCCGGTAGTTGTTGTTCTTGCATTGTTATTATTAGAAAGCTAAAATGGCTGAGTTCAAGGAAGGGGAAGGCAACCGTAAACATAGATGTGTGGGGTAGTAGCTTTATACTACGATTACAGTATAAGAAAAAATCAGAATTAAAATATTACTTAAATAATTTATTTTATTTATTGATATTATATAGAAAGATTCTTTTCCAAGAATAAAAAGTAATTTAGATTTATTAAAAAAATTAAAGAGATAAATTTATCATGAAGACTATATATATCACGTGAGTTAATTAAATTTTAACTCAATTACTATAATAGTTATTAACAGACCCGTCCCAAAATATATGTAGACCATGTGCTAATTTTTAAAATGAAATTCGGAAAATATTTTATAATAAGACGAAATTTTAAAATATCAAAATTTAAGTAGATTGAAATTAATTTGGACATAAATAAGAATTTTTTTATTCATTAAACACTATAAATTTGATGAGTTTTTAGGAAAAATTGATTACAATTGAATTCTTAAGATATTAAGAGAGAAATTTAGTTTTTTTGGTTAAATTTTGTCATGAATTTTTTTAAAAGTGTGGGACTCCTAAATTTTGAAATCCCATGACGTATCACAAACTACGTTTGCTAATGGACAGGCCTGATTATTAGGGTCAACTATATATTTGATACCCCACTTGTCACTTTTTATTTCGTTTTAATCACCTAACTATAATTGTTTTTCAAAATTACATCTTACGTTGCGTATTAATTTTATTTTGATCACTCACCGTTAAAAAATAATAGAACCGTTGACGTGACATTTTAAAAAAAGCAACGATGATATGCCATTATCTTATGATGACATATCAATATCACGGTTAATTTTTAACTACGGTGACCAAAATGAAATAAAAAAGTAACGTTATGTACGATTTTGAAATATAAAATAGTTGATTGATCAAAACGAAACTAAAGTAATAGTTAGGTTACAAAACCTGTAGTTTACCCTAATTATTATAATAAAAGATTAAAATCAATTATTACATTGATAATTTTTACATTAGTCGACTTCAAATTTCAACTTTTTTTATCATTATATATGTATTGTCCATTCATTTATTATTTGCATTTGAAATTTATAATATATCTATTCTATTATTAAAATTTTAAATAAGTTTAAATCATGATTTATTAGATATTATATATATGTTAATGATAATAGATATTATTATAAAAACTTGTATTTTAGATAATCTTTAAATAAAATAATTTAAAATTTAAAGGTATTTTTTTCTACCATTCTATTTATGATATTTCATTGATATTTTTTTATTAAAATATATTTATATAAAATATTTCTTTTCATTTAGATCTAGATCTCATAAAATCTAGTTTATAGTTACTATTTTGTTTGAATATAGAGAGTTTGTATTCTATATAGAATATAGAATATGGCAGTCACGAGTAAGGTGATAATTAATTTTGACAACAAGGCTGCTAATGATATTTAACCCGCCACTTTAATATTTCCTTTCAAATCCATTTATTTTGCATCTCCTAAAGATGTTTTTTTATAATCATCGATATTTGATCCATTGATTAATTAATCTAGATCGAGTACTTCAATGGCAAGGACGATCCTCCTAACCAAATTTGCTCTATTCGCAAACACGAGGTTTCAAAATTATTACCTTATTAATATCTCATTTCACTAGACTAGCTGATTGTTAGTATCTCATTCCACTAGACTAACTGATTTTCTATACCAAATTAATGCTCATTAATATTATTTTGAACCTGATTAATTTTTATTTTATCGTAGAGAAACTCAAACCAATTTCATCTTATTGTATAAGTTACATCAGTTGAAACAAAATTTGAGAACAAATTTTGAGATCTAAAGTGAAGCTCACGAATACAATTTAAGTTTAAACTTTATCACATTGTTTTTAAACTATAGAAAGGAATCTTGAAAACTATTATTGCTCCAATGCAAAGTCGATTCAATTGAATATATATATAAATATATTTGACTCAGTTTGACTAGAGACATTTGAATTTTTTTCCGATAAAAATATTAAAAAATTACTATTTTTAAATATGTTTAATTTTTTTAATAATTTATTATTTATAGCTTCTCATATTCTTATTATTTTTTTATTTTTACTTATTTAAAAAGAATAATATTATTTTTATTTTAGTGATTTATAATTACTTTTTTACTTTTAGTTGTAATAAATTTTAAAATTCTTAATTTTTCTTCTTAAAGATTAATAAGTATTCAATTTTTTTATAAAAATAAATTACGTCCTCAAAACTCGATAAATAAATAAATAAAATCTATTTTTCATGTCATCATTGACATGCGAACCATCATGCAAACATCATGAACCATCACAATAACATAATATATTGTTACGTCACTATTGTCGCAACCGGTTTTCGTTCAGGCGCGAAATTTTTACTTGGCGGGAAAATAATGTGAATAAATGGTTATTAAAATATTTTAAGGAGTCGCCATCGGCCTTTTGGGTCAGGTAGGTCGAATACCTAAAAATTATCTTTCAAAAGAGTTTTTAGGAAAACATCAGTTAAAAGATAAACTGGTCTGCGTTTTAACCCAAAAATTCATTCTTTTTAGAAATAAAAAGGGATTCATGGTCGGTTACGTTTAGGAAAGGATTAGAACCCCTACAATGCCCAAAATTGGTACTTAATTAATTATAAATTGTCTCTATTGTTAGAAATTTAAAAATTCAAAGATATATTTAATTTATAATTCGGTTATTTCAAATTTATAATTTTCAGAAAATATATTAATTTAATAAGATATTTATTTATTTAGAAATATCAGAAAAGGGCTTCTAGGTGCTTTAAGACAGCTCCTTTCTTAATATTAAAAAATAAATAAATATTAATAAAACATTTCTACTAATATATATAATTGATAAAAGTAAAATATTTATTTAAAATATCAGAAAATGAACATCCAATTGCTTTATGACTGTCCTTTCTTAATATTTAAATATTAAAAATAATAATTTTCTCTAATAAAACAATATGTGTTTTCTGGTTTTTATAAGTAAGATATTTATTTATTTTTAAAAGATTAGAATAAGACATCTAGTTGTTTTAAGACTGCCCTTTTCTTTAATATTAAAAATAAATCAATATTATTATTTAAACCAATATATATATATATATATACATATATTTATATAATAAAATAATAATGAAGGTAATAATTTACATATATTAAAAGTAATAGATAAAATAACTGTAAATAAATAAATAAATGAAAAAAACTATAGTATTAAAATATATTATCTAAATAATGAACCATAACTTGAATATAATATATAGTAATTTAACCCTTAATTATTAATCAATGATTAAATATCGATTATTAAAATTAAAGCTCCAATTCGAAATATTATAAAACATAAATATAACATGTAATTTAACCTATAATTACGTGATTAAAATAAATTTAATTAAATAATAGGGACTAAATCGGTTATTTACCCTAATGTATATAAATACAGTTAATGGCTAAAATATATTAAAATAAAATTTAAATACTAAATTGAAATGATTAAAAGTCAATTTCAGTGACTAAATTGCAAAGTGCACAAACTTGGAGCATTGCGGATGGGGTTTACCCCTGTGAGAAATTACAGATATATACCTCTAAACCGGCCACAGGGAGAAATTACAGATAATACCTCTAAACCGGCCACAGGGCCATTATTCTCTCATTTCTCATTTTTTTCATTTTCTCTCTAACAGAGAGAAATTTTTTTTCTCTCTTTTCTCTCTAAAAACTTCACCCGGAGAGATCAGAAACCGGCCGACAGTCGTACTTCGGCTCCGACACCGCCGCCGGCCACCGTACGTGGTGGCCGGAATTTGATAAATTAGTCCCGAATGACCCTTTTTTTACTCTAAGGCCGAATATGGCCTCTCTTTTTTCTAAAACCCTATAAATCTTCCTAGATCTAAAAAAGACCGTAGGTATTACCTTCGGTTTTACAACGATTCCGGTGAGCAGAGTAAGTTTTCCTCTCTTTCCCTCATTCGTTACTCTCAGTTGCTTTCAATATGTTGCTTGTTGTTGGTATTTGGAACCTTGCTGTTTGCTCGGGTGTTCTTGGTTGTTGTTGTAGTGGTGTTGTTGTGTCTCTCTGTCTTCCGTTATTCTCTTCGTTTTTCTTTTTTATTTTCTGATGCTCTCTGTCTCTCTTTTTTTCTTTGAATATAATTGGGCTATGTAATTTTTTATTTATAATAAATATAATAAATATAATATAATAAATAAATAATAATGATAATGAAAAAAAATTGATGTCTACAGCTGCCCCTCTTTGCCCATTCTTGTGTTAACAAGAATAGAGCAAAGACTAAAAAGACAATAATTTTTTCATTTGGCCTCTTTTGAGTATGATGGAAATGTTTGAAAACATCATGCACTGAAGGGCTTATAGATGACCCAGAGGTTTTGAAAATATCATGCACTGAAGGGCTTATAGACGACCCGAAGGTTTTGAAAACATCAAAAAGCTCCCGAAGGCTTTTTGGAAACATCATGCACTGTAGACTTACAGATGACCCTAAGGCTTTGAAAACATCAAAAAGCTCCCGAAGCTTTTTGGAAACACATGCACTGTAGGACTTACAGATGAACCTAAGGCTTTGAAAACATAAAAAAGCTCCCGAAGGCTTTTTTTGAAACATCATGCACTGTAGGACTTACAGATGACCCTAAGGCTTTGAAAACATCAAAAAGCTCCCGAAGGCTTTTTGGAAACATCATGCACTGCAGGACTTACAGATGACCCTAAGGCTTTGAAAACATCAAAAAGCTCCTGAAGGCTTTTGGAACATCATGCACTGCAGGACTTACAGATGACCCAAAAGCTTTGAAACATCAAAAAGCTCCTGAGGCTTTTTGGAAACATCATGCACTGCGGACTTACAGATGACCCTAAGTCTTTGAAAACATCAAAAGCTCCCGAAGGCTTTTTGGAAACATGCACTGTAGGACTTAAATGACCCTAGGGCTTTGAAAACATCAAAAGCTCCGAAGGCTTTT